AACGTGTTCTTTTAGATAGCAGCATATATACCTCCATAGGTAGTAGTAATTTAGGAGGACAAGCGGCGTCCAATTCCTCGCGCCCAGCTTCACAATCCCACATCCCACTAACCCATAAACACTTCGAATTTTAACTGTATTTAGTATGAGAGAGACGAACCCACTGAAGAAAATAGAAAAGAATCTATAGAAGAAAGATTAACTTAAAGAAGCACTAATACTAGAGTATAGAATAGTCTAGTTCGAGCCCGGTAAAGGTCCTCCCTATTCTCCACCACAACTCTTTCCCCGCACCATCACCCACCAAACCACCAATCTCAACCACCATCATTACCCATGCACAGCCCAGCCCGGCCCAACCCCCCCCAACACCAGCAACCACAACACAATCCCCACACGACACACACCAGCAACCTCTACAAACCAAACTAAACCAAGCAGCTAACTAACATCGACCCAATACATCAACAAACTTAAAATTTCTATCCTATCTACATCAAAAACCTAGGTAAAGTATATACTCGAAGCTGCTCAAAGCCCAAATTTTTTAAAATCCCACCAGCCTATACATAACCCAACCTAACCCAACCCAGCCAACCGCCCAACCGCCTAACCAAACCAACCAAACCAATCCAACCATTCTAACCGTCCACTGTCCACCACCAAGTCATGCCAAGTCATAGTAGCCAAAGAAGAAGAAGAAGAGAAGAAACAGAAGAAGAAAAACGAACAAAAAGTCATAACTCATCACTCATAACCCCACTCCTGACCCCAACCCCACCTCTCCACACCCACCCACCAACCCACCCAAAAAAAACACCCCCTAAGCGCGATCCACGCACCTACCCACCCCCCTCAACACGCCCCTCAGAACCCTCCATCCAACCAGCAAAATCAACAGCGCGAACTTAAACGCAAACGTCAACAACGCAAGCACAACGCGCACCAAAAGCGGCAATTTCTCCTCCTCCTCCTGCTGGGCCTCCAAATCGCTTGTCTTGGCCTTGGCCTTCGCCTTCGCCTTCCCCACACTGCCAAACCACGCGGCGTGCTTCCTCCCCTCGCCCTTCACACCCCCCCTCGCGGCCCGCGTCGGCGGGCCCTCAAATACCAGCTGCACTTCGGGCGAGCCAGGCATGCTGCCGCCACCGACACCGACAACATGGCCCTCGGCTGCCTTGCCGGTGCCCGAGCCCGAGCCCGAGCGTTTCGGCGACGGCAGTAGCAGCAATGCCCGGCCCTCGCGCAGCGTCTCGGCCGCGCAGACGGCGAAGACGGCGCACACGGCGACGTCGAGGAGGTACGGGGCTGCGAGGGCGGAGAGGGCGGCCGCGTCGAGGGTGAGCGTGTTGGAGGCGAGGGCGAGGCGGGCGAGGACTTCGTCATGCGATTGTTCGGGTTCGGGTTCGGGATCGGAGTGCGAGCACGTGGTTGAGGAGGTCGAGGTCGAGGCGCAGGAGCCCGCGCTGGGGTTCTTGGCGTGTTTTGCTGTGCTGGTGGCGGACGAGGCGCGGCGGGGCGTTGCGTACGGGTTTAGGATCGTGATGCTGCCGCTGGTTTTGTCGTTGTTGTTGCTGCTGCTACTAGCCTTTTTGCTGCTCGGGCGGCCGTCAAGGTCGCGGCGGACATCGCCTTGGACGACAATGGGGAATGCCCCGAGCTTAGGGTGGCGGAGCTCGTACGTGCCGGTTTTGTGTGTGGCGTACGGCTCGACGAGCTGTTCGGAAACAGGGCAGTACACCAACAGGCAGCTTTGCTCGGCCTCCGACTTGGCAACCGCTTCTGCAGCTAGGCGGGCGGCGGCTTGGGACGTGGCAGTTGGGTCGTCGCGGGCGATTTCCGCGGCGCGGGTCGTTTGTGCTGCGGCTTCCAGGGCGGCGAGGGAGGCCAGTTTCGGGTGAATGGTCGTGATGAGCGTGGGAGATCTGTCCTGGTAGAAGGACTCTGGTTTTTCTTGAGGTGCGTGCGGCGGAGGAATGTGGACGGTGAGGTGAGCGATAGGGAAGGATGACGATTTGGGTTGAGTCGGGTGGTGGCGGGAAATGAGTAGCTCTTGGCTCGGCACGTCGGATGCAGAGGCGGTTGAGTCTATATTTTGGACGTCGTATTGCTTCAGGCTGTACATTGGCTGGGCGGGGGAAGGACCGAAGAGAAGCGTAGGTTCGCGCGAAGAGCTGGAAGACGCAGTCACGTCGCGGCCGTGCATTTGCAGGCTAAAAGTCCGTTTGGACTCCTCCGAAGGCTTTCCGTTGGCTGCGTTCCACAAATGGTTGAGCTCTCTTGCCGGCGTGTAACAAGGAGTCTCTTTCAATCTTCCTTGCGAGACATTGCTGTGCGGGATGTAAAATTTTGGGGAATACGACGGTCTGCTGATCTTGTCTTTTGAAATCTCCGTGGGGGATGGCTGAGTTGGTTTGTATTGTTGTTGAGAAAGCGGAACATTGGGGTTATAGCGCGGGAAGATGGAACGCATCGCCGGAACGCCATGGGGGCTGACATGGGGCGTCTGCTGTGTGGCAGCGCTGTTGCTTCGAACGAGCGTCGTACTATCCGAAAACGAGGGTGAGGCGGTTGCCTGACGATCCGGATAATGAATGGGGGAAGTGTTCTTCTCTGAGGCGGGAGTTTGTCGGGAAGGTGAGCCAGTCTCTGGAAGAGGCGCAACGTTGGCCTGGAGGGGTGAAGTTGATGCCGACTTTTCCGAAATGGGAGATAGAGGCTTCCTGATGGTTGACTTGGAAGTTGTCACTGGCCTCCTCGTCCTGGCTGGCTCGGGTATCGCTATTACAGGTGCACTTTGTGAAGACTGCCTCGATGAACTGGCCTGTGCAGGTGCTGGTGCAGGTGCAGGAACGGGTACGGATACGGAGGAGATCGGCTCAGAGTTGACCTCAATGACCAACTCATGAAAATCGACCGGCGACTTTGCGCGCTCCGCCAGCTCCAGAGCCGGCTCTGGGCTAGCAGGCTTTTGTGGGCGCCTGAGGCTGATTGGCCTGTTTGGCTTCTTCTGGGGAGGAGGGAACAACTGGAAAGACATGATGGGTATTATGCCGAAAATAAAGAGGTGGTATTAAAATTGATTATGAACACAAATTTGGTGCACGAGAACCAGCTCGTGGCGAAGAGTATGAAAAGGAAGAAAAGGAAGAAGAAGCGACTGATATGACGACTCACGGAGCGCGCAAATGCCCAGGTAGCGGTGGCGAACGGCTACGATATAAACTTATCGATTGCTCTCACGCATCGGACCGCACAAAAGCAATAGCGGCTGCAGACAGCGTACCTGCGTTTCTCGCACTAAGATCATCCAATGGGTTGCGTTGTCACGGCAGATGGTTGGTCGCCAGCGCTCGCAGCTAAGCGCCCACTCCACCTTGGCGAGGATATCACATCCAGCCTCCCCCAAGGCCGAACCGCCCGCCTCGGGTGCGGGCCACGAGGCAAAGGCATGGTTCTATAATTGGGCGGAGACCCCGCCAGGGCTCGAAAAGAGGGCTGTTATCGACGGATGGGTGCTGTGCGAGCCTCGGAGCTGTCCCGCAACGTTAAGAAGACCGCGATTGCAGGAAAGCGGTCAGGTAGCGCGCGTACATAGGGACGCCTTGGAGTTCTAAGAGGTCCTATTCAGCGACGCAAAGTCTTTGTGGGGTCTGGTGACCATGTTCGGGTCGGTCTGGAATAGAAGTTTGACGGCAGCAGTGGCAGTGGTGGCGATTGTCTGGACGCCGTTTGTCGTTCTCATATCAGGTCGAGTCACGAAACCGAGTAAGCAGACAAGATCGAATGGGTAGGAGTGCGTGTGGCGGTGGTCAGGCGAAAGAGTTGAGGAGAGAGTTGAAGGTGCAATGAGGGACGAGAAGATGGTGGGCAGCTGGCGGCGGCAGCATGTCACGGAAGGGTTCCGCAACGGAGGGCTTCCGAGCATGGCCAGATCGGGCAATTCAACCGCAGCTCTTTAACATCGAACGTAGCAGCTCTTTTGGCGCACCCTCGGCTTGGACAAGATTTGTATGGCGCAAAAGGCGTCCACCCCCATTCGCTCCACAACGCCTCGCCCGGACACGCTCAAAGTCAGGCATCTGGTGGCCATGGCCTTCCCAGTCAAAGTCTCGCGGCGCAAATTCTAATCAGAAGCGTGGTGGCCGAGTTGGAACGCCTTGAAGTTTAAACCGCACGCACTACTGCGCCGATGGCTTCACAGTCCACCGTACTCCGGAGCGTATCAACAAAGTGCCGGACACTGGGAGACGCCGGGTAGCTATCGATAGAGCGGCGGACAAAATTTCCAGCCATGACGCACCCGAAAGCAGCACTCGCTCCCACACTGTGATACCCCGCGCCTGCCCATCATGCCCACCGAACTCGAAGAGGCAAGATCTTGCATAAGCTTGTACACTGCACTAAGCACCAAGCTAACCTCTCACTGCAGCTCGTCGAATTCCTCCACCATGGCAACACGCAGATCCGCCAGATCGGTACGCCCGTCCCACCGCCCGCGCCGCACATCCCTCTGACGACCTAAACACTGCAGCGGCCGAGAACCTGGTGGGCTTCTCGACAGCCCAGCCCTCGCTATTCAAGCGCAACCAGCTCGAACCTATAAAAGACCTGAAACTGCTGGTTAAGGACTACACCGTATGCGCCATTACCACCAGCGGCGCCCCACCAAGCGCTGCAGGACCAAGACGACACACCCGCTAACTCGACGCCATGTGCGCGCGCGCCATGTCTAGCCAATTGCCAAGAATGCGCTCACCATGCTCATCAACCTGTCGGACGACGAGGAAGTGCGGAAGTCGCTGGTTGAAGACAATGCCCTCCTCGAGACGATCCTGCTGCGCATAACAGTATGTCAGTCACGCCCTCCGGCGCCGCGACCCTCCTTCCACATAGCCATGCGCCCAAGCACCATCTGACAGCATGTAGAGCCCCAAGGAGCCCACCGCGAACGAGCTCGCAATGCTGCTCGCCAACATGGTCAAGTCGGACGAGATGAAGAAGCTGTTGACGCTCGAGCGCGGCGTGCCCAAGGAGCTGTCGACGTCCAAGGTGGCCATGGACCAGCTGATGGACTGCTTCGTCAAGGGCGCCGAGGGCCGCTACAACAAGCACGCTGACTACGACTACCTGTCGTACGTCTTTGCCGACATGGCCAAGGTGCGCACATGCAATATCCCCCTCAAAGTCCCCTCAGTGCTAACAATCCCTCGCGCACTAGCACCCCGAAGGCCGCAAATACCTCACGACGGCGCAGCCGTACGACGCGGACATCATCCCCATAACCAAGCTCACAGTCTTCACGGAGCACAAGTCGACGATCCGGCGGCGGGGCGTAGCGTCTACGCTCAAAAACGTGTGCTTCGACACCGAAAGCCACGCGACGCTGCTGTCGCCGTCAGCGGTGAACATACTCCCATACATTCTGCTGCCGCTCATGGGGTCGGAAGACTACGCCGACGAAGACACGGACGGCATGCCCGAAGAAGTGCAGCTCCTGCCACCAGACAAGACGCGCGAGCCGCAGCCCGACATCCTCGTCATCCACCTCGAGACGCTGCTGCTGCTGACGACGACGCAAGAGGCGCGCGAGGACCTGCGAGCCCGCAAGGTCTACCCTGTTGTGCGCGAGTGCCATTTGCAGGTCGACAATGAGGACGTGCAGGAGGCGTGCGATCGCGTCGTCCAGATTGTCATGCGCAAGGAGGAGGGCGAGGAGGAGGATGTGCCCGAGGGCTTCCCCAAGGTGCAGGAGGTGGATGAGGAGGAGCAGGTCGTGCAGATTCTGTAGAGGCTTTGTTTCTTTCCTTGGGGGGTGGGGTTGGCCGCATGCAGCAAGTGGGCGCCTTGTGCATGAACAATGGATAAAGAAATAAAAGCGCTTTGTAGAGGGTTTGTTTCGATGCAGCATTTCCATAGCGGCAACGTCGCATTCGCACACAAGCCCATGCCCATCCATCCAAGCCCCCGCACGCACGCATGCACGCACGTACGCATCCAGCATCCATCCATCCATATATCCTACCTATCCTCTACGCCTACAGTAAGCAAGAGCCACAACCCCCACCCAGATCAACGCAGTCTAGAACCCAAGCAAGCAAGCAAGCAAGCACCGTAACCTCCTCCCTTTGCCGCTGCTCTTCCATAAGCAACCCCCACCCTAGCCCCAGACCCAGACCTTGGAGCACGCTCTGTCGTGTACGGGCAAGGGAAAGCGGACTACCAAACGCCGCCTGTCCGCTGCCCGTCCATGCCATGCCATGATGTGGAGGGTGAACGAGCTACCGCGCAAAGATCGAAAGTGGGAAGGAAGGAAGGGGATAAATTAAGCATTTATTGCTGCTGCTGTTGTTGTGTGTGTGATGGACGGTTGTGTGTGTGTATAACATAGCAAGTAGGTTGGGTCGGTGTGTGCTGTGCAGTGTATGCATCGTCGTCGTCATAGTCATATTCGTTTCTGTTGTTCGCGCTAGCGACGCGCTGGTACGTGCCCAGTAAGTAAGGTGGTGGGTCGAGAGCTGGCGGCGACAAAGTCGTGTCGTGTCGAGTATGTAGCCAGACCGTGCCTCCCCTCGCAAGCTGACAACAGCAGGTAGTCGTACTCCCACGACCAGCAAAAGCACCATCCTCGCCCGCATCTAGTGCTAGAGCAAGAGTGTAGCAGTCCCCCAAGAAAAAAGAAAAAGAAGAAAGGTATGTAGCCGCCATCCGTCAGGCGAAACCACAAAAAGCCAAACCTACGCACCGCCTATTCCTACCACTGGTGCCACCAACCACGCACACGCTCAGCCCGCCCTCGGGAAAATCATCTTCGTCTTCTTGTCAAAGATGCCCGCATGCTTGACGTTGTTGATGAAATCATGCTGCACAGCCGGCGACACGCGCCCCTTGAACGCCGCGATCAGCGTACCCATGGTCGCGCCCTGGGCCGGGATGACGGCCTTGATCTCCTCGACTGTCGGGATCGGGCCCGCCGGCTTTGCTTGTGCTTCTGTGCGCGTTAGCATTTGTTTCCTACAAGCGCACAATCAGTCAGAGGGGCAAAGGGGAACTCACGCCGAGGACGAGCGGGCAGGCTGCCTGGACCTCCGGTCGTCGGGCTACCCGCGCGCGACGCGCCGCCGCTGCTAGCGCCGAGGACGGGGCTGCCCGCGCGGCTGCCGCCGGGTGTGCCCGTGCCCGAGCCCGAGCCCGCGCCGCTGAGCCGCATCTTGAGCTTGCGCTCGCGGTCCGTCGCCTCGCTCTCCGAGCCCGAGCCCGCATGCATCTTCTGCTTCTTGCGCGTCGACTCGTTGCCGCTGGCGTCGGAGAGGTTGGGCGAGCCGGGGCGTTTGATCGACTGCGAAGAGGTTGAGAGCTTGAGCGGGTCGCTCGTCTTGGGTCGGCCGGACGGCGTGTTCGAGCCTTTGCTTGTGGTGCCCGAGGACGGCTTCTCGTCCGCTTTGCCTTTGCCTTTGTCTTTTTCCGCGGCGGTCCGTTCCTGTTCGCGCTTGCGCTCTTCTTCCTTTTGGCGCTCCACTTCGGAATCGTCCGACTCGGACTGGAGTCTTAATCAGTATAAAATCAAAAAACAAACGGAAAACGCATTACCTCTGATGAGTACGGGTTCTCGTCGCTGTCATCAAGATCGTAGTTGTAGTTCTTCTCGCGCTTGACAATCTTCTTGCGCAGACTCTTCTCCAGCTTTCTCCGTAACTCCGCCTCGAGCTTAGCGTCTTCTTCTTCCTGCCACACGTCCTTTTCGTCCTTCAGCGCGAAGGCGTTGGCGGCGAGCTGCTCCCGCTTAACCCGCTCCTGCGTGCGCTTCGTCTCCTCGTCATCGCCTTCGAACAGACCATTGACACCTTCCTCGTCGTCTGCGAAATCCTCTTCCACGTTGAAGTCGATGTCGTCTGCATCAGCCGCCACCTCAGGCCTGTATTCATCACCAGGGTTGCCTCTAGGCGCCTCCTCGTCTCCAAATCCTCCCTTCCGAGCAAAGACCTTGCCAGTTTTGACTTGTTGCATCTGCTTCTTCTTCATAGTCTCCTCGTCCTTCGCCTTGAGCCATGAAGGCACCTTCATGTCGAGCTTCACGTCGCTCTTCTCTTCCTCCTTGTTGAACCACCGGGGGATGTTGCCCTTCTTCTTCTCGTGCCTCTCAACCATATCGGGAGAGAAGATCATGCCCTTGTCCTTGGCAGAGAACTTGTACCACTTCTCGACTGGCACCATGCGGAACTTGGAGCGGTAGTTACCGAGCGCATCCGTCCATGGCTCGTTGTAGAGGATGATGTGGTTGCCAGACAGAGCGGACTCGTAACCGCCAACCCAGGTGTTCTTGTTGTCAAAATCCTCCAGATGCCAAGGCAGCGTCTCTTCGTAGCGCAGGCGCGACGCCTTGATGGCCTCCGGTGTATCGTTGCGCTCGTACACCTGCTGGATTTTCTTCTTGTTGTCGGTAAAGCCCATCTTGCCCTTGGCCTTGGGCGCAATCTGCGCTTGGACCTCGGCGCGGTTGCGCTTTCTCTCCTCCTTCAAAGCTTCGACTCTCGCCCTCTCCTGAGCTTCCTCGTCGTTTTCGTCCTCGCCGTTATCAGCGCCGGCGCCCGATTTGCCCGCGCCAGCATCACGTCTGTGCAAGCGGATCGGCCTGGTAAAGGAGGATTCATCGGTGGGGTCGATGAGCGTCTTGGACTGGAAGCGCATGACGTGGTGACGGAGGCCTTCGAGAAAAGCGCGCTTGGTGGTAAAGACAGGGAAAGTCTCGACCTTTGCGCCGGGCGGAGGTTCAAGCTTCTGGACAGGAATAATGCCTCCTTGGGACTGCGGGGCCTGCTGCTGCGCGCCATTGGGGATCGGAGTGGTGCGCTGCGCAGATGGTGGCTTGGGGCGCGCAGCACCGGGCCTCGCGGCGCCGCGGTTGGGTCGCTTGGGTTGGACCAGAGGGTTCGCCTTTGCTTTGGGTCGGGGACGGGCGGCAGGGACTCCGCCATTCGGGGTGGTGCCGGCGGGCGCTCCGTTGGGCGTGGTGCCCGGAGGACCTGCGGGCGATGCGCTCATGGTGGATGACAAGTGGAGCTCAGGTCGAGCGCGGATCGGGAAGAGACGTGCAGACGGCAAGCGGTGGAGACGGTCTACGGTGTCGTGTCTGGAGGTGGGTTGTCGAGGGAGAGCGAGAAGGGGTGAAGAACGGCGGGTTGTTGTCTTTGTCTTTGTCCTGCGGCGGGTCGCAGCTTGTTGCCCATGTCTTGGCGGGACCATGATCGACCGGGAGCGGGCCAAAGTTTTGCCGAGCGCGCGCGCGCGGCGCAGATCCGTCGCGCAGTCACCCATGTCGCGCGCGCTCTTGCCCACTTACCTGAGAGGAAGCCTATGGACGCCTGCCTGCCTGCTGCCGAGAGACAACCTTCCCTTACTCATCCTGCCTGGCCTCCGTGATCGCCAGGCTTCCCTGGACTTTGTTCGCCACGTCCGCAGCATTTAACCGCCTACTATCGCTCTTTCCCTTATCATGAATCCTCCGTCGTCGCTGGAGGACCAGCTGCGGTCCATGATTTTAAACAATTCTCCGCTTACGCCTACCAACCCGCCACAGGCCATTGCCCAGCCTCAATCAGCAGTCCCACCCGCTAACTACCCACCGAGCTCCAATGTCTCAGCTGACGGCGCTGCGTTACCTCGCGGAGGCGCTGGCGCTGGCCGCTATCAACAGCATCGCTCGTCACATGGTCCCGCTCATGGCCGAGTCCCGTCTCAGCAATCGTCAGGCCCGGAATGGCGCTCGCGTGGCCCGCCGCCTGCCCACCGTGGCTCGCCTCATCATCGTGGCCATTCAGTCCCGCATCAGCAATTCCAAGAGTCGCCTGTAGGAAGCGCTGCGTCTCCTAGGGCTCCACGCCATCAACCTCCGCGCGGACGCGGCTATGCGGGCCCACCCCATGGAAGGAATCACAGCACCCAAGGAGTGCCCTCTAACTCTGCATCTCCGCAGCAATCACGCATGCCCTGGTCTCGCGGTGGATCTCATCCGCAAGCAGCGCCATACCCCGGTTGTGTTGGGGCTTCCGGCGGTGTCCCGCCAACGGCTCCAGGCCATCCTGTGCAAATACTGCAGCGCCCTCAACAGCCTGCAGCTTCCGGTAGCCCCAATCCAAGCCCAGGATTCCAGGGTCGGCCTCTCAACAATGGGTACCGCCAGCCTTACCAGATCCACACTAAGCATCAATTGGAAGCTCAGTGTAATTACCTTGATGGTGTGGCCACCGTGGAAATTCCCAAGGTCGCCATGAGCGAGGAAGAGCTGAATGAAAAGCAAAGCTTTGTCGACAACCTCGAGAAGATTTGTCAAACAGAGATTGCGTTGTTACCTGACGTGCCTAGTCTTGATTTCAAATGTTTTGGCAGCATCGGTACGGGGTTTGCAACCAAGGGCTCCGACATTGACCTTGCGGTAGTCGCCTCGGAAGAGGAAAACACTGAACTGGCTAAGAAAGCCGGTCCTCGGGCTCTGGAGAAGATATTTCTTGACAAGGGTTTTGGTGCGCGACTGTTGACACATACCCGAGTTCCTATCATCAAATTCTGTGAGAAGCCATCCGATGAACTTCATACGAATTTGCTGCTAGAGCGCAAGAAATGGGATGATTTGCCTGAGGATGAGAAGGAGGGCAAGGTAGAACCGCAGGTTGCGACAGGTGAAGGGGAAAAGAGTTCGAAGGCGGATGAAGCCAAGGATTCTGAACGGCGCAGTAAGTGCACCTTTGCTGGAGGCACTAAGATCGTCGAATACCTATACTCCCAATCCTCAGCCATGGCACTTTGAGAAATTCTTGTAATCAACAGAGTTTCTGAATGGCTTATAGATACAGATACCGCCGCCGACGGAAAAAGTGCTTCCCCCAGCACTTCCCAAAACAACGAGCTGCGGGAGGACAAGAAAGCAATGCCAAAGCCGTCCACGCCAGGAATGATTGACAAGCAAGTTTCTTTCCCTGAAGGTAACCCTCAGGACGCGGGCGAGGAGAAAAAGGATGTTCAATCGCAAGGGCAGCAGCGACATGAGAAGCCATGGTTGCGCGAAAAGCCGCTGGGTCCACTCGACTTTCCCAAAGATGGTGTTGGTATCCAGTGCGATCTTAACTTCTCAGGCCACCTCGGTATCTACAACACGAAGCTTCTGCACTGTTACAGCATCAGTGACCAGCGTGTGCGCGAGATGGTCATCTTTGTCAAAGCTTGGGCAAAGACGCGCAAGGTCAACAGCTCATACAACGGAACCTTGTCATCGTACGGCTACTCTCTCATGGTCCTTCACTACTTGATGCGGATCCCGGCAGACCCTGTCATCCGCGACCTTCAACTTGATAATACGCAACAAATCAACGGAAGGCGTCCGACTTGGATCGACGTCACGATTAATGGGGTCAAAGTCAAGTTCTGGGGTGATGAAGAGTACATCACGGCCGCGGCACGCAAGGGCCAATGGACGCTTAACAGAGAATCTCTCGGCAGTTTGCTTAGAGGCTTCTTCCGTTACTATGGTTGCCCAGGCCATCCCGATCGGGTGGGCGGCTTCCACTGGACGCGCGACGTGATCACCTTTGGTCAGCGAATGCCTTGGGAGCGATTGGTCACCAAGAACGAGCTTGGATGGACGCAGGCGAGGACTGAGCAAAGAGACAATGTAAGATCTGATTCGGGCACCGCTCCAACCTCGAACACGAGCCATCAGCAATCCTCATCACTCCCCCTCGAGCAGCCATTACCAACAACAAATCCATCCAAGACAAAACACTAACACATTCCCAGGCCAAAGAAGTCCGTCACCGCTACCTCGTCGCCATCCAAGACCCCTTCGAGCTCAACCACAACGTCGGCCGCACCGTCACGCACCAAGGCATCTGCGCCATCCGCGAGGAATTCCGGCGCGCATGGCGCATCCTCGAAGCCGAAGCCGCGGGTCAGCCGCACAAGCAGCTCTTCGCCAGCATCGACGACGACCCGCCTCCGCCCCAGACGGTCTTGTCTGGCGCGCACAGGCACGGCTCCGGCGCCAACGACGCTGCGGCGGCGGCGGCGGCGGTGGCACAGTCGCCGGGACAAGGCCACACGCCTGCGAGAGCCGGGTCTGGCGATGCGAGGGCCCGTCAGGGCTCTGCTGCGCAGGCGAAGGCGCAGGCGGGCTTGTCGCCCGCGGAGGCTGGCGCGCTGCTTAATGGGGTGGGTGCTGGGAGTGCGTAGGGGGTTTGCGATTGGATGGGTGGGATCTGCTGTATTGCTGTTGCAGGAAAGAAACATGACATTTGTGCTTTGCATGTATATGGCACGGTAGTGGGGTATTACAGCGAAGCGCAAAGCTGAGCTGAGCTGAGTGGAGCAGATAGGACTGGCTTAGGTACGGAATGCACGCCGTTATGTTGCTGTTGCTGTTGCTGTTGCTGTGCTTAGCTGTATGCTCACATGGCCATGGCTTCCATGACTTTCACGTTCACGTTCACGTTCACATTCGCGGATGTGGGAGGTGCGTGATGGGTGGTGCGTGATGCGTGTGCATGCTGCATGATGACAGATATACACACACACACACCTACAAACGCACTAGCTCCCATGTAATGAGTCATACGAAACAGCACGTACTGTACTCGCTTACCATTTTCTCTCCTTTTTCCATTTTCTTTCCCATTTCCTTTTTCCGTTAACTAGTAGCTTCAGCCCCTCTCAGCCTCTCGTCCTGAGTATCGAGGAGCTTTCTGTGCCTGCTGTGTCTGCTGTGCTGTGCTGTGTAGACAGTTATGTAGATATATATCCCATGTTCCTGCGCCTTAGGCGATGGGAGTTGGGCGTTGGGGATTGGGAATTGGGAGTTGAGCGTGAGCTATGATTTGAGCTGAGCTGAGCTGATTGGGGCGCGCGTTTGGGTGGGTGTGTGAGGGGGAGGGGTGGTGTGTGAGTGGTTGTGGGGTTGGGCGTTGGATGACAAGGAGGGGCAGTGCTGTTGCTGTCTTTTGCGGTGCGGCTTGGCTTGGCTTATTGTTGTTCACTATGGGGGAGTAAAGAGGAGGGTGGGGATGCTGTTGTTGTCGCTATAGGTAACTGTACGCGCTGGGTCTATGAAAGACGGCGTAGAGAGAGGTTTATCTGCTTGTCTACTTGTAGGGGCTTGTGGTGCCACCCTTGGGATGGGGTTGCTTGTGCGGTGTGGTGATGTGTCTGCTGTGTCTGGTGGGTTTGTGGGGTGTGTATATGTGTTCCTCTGACTGCTGAGCAGCCTGGAAGTGATAGTAGTAGTCGTGGGAGTGGGGGTGGGTGGTACTGTACGTGGTCTTGTAGAATTGCGGCGGCGGCAGCAGCTGAATGGCTAAGGCTGCGGATGCATGCTGGGCAGGCGAGCGGGATGGGTTGGCGTAGCTGTGGGTATAGACTGCGGTTCTTCTTGCTTGGCTGCGCGTGCGGATGTAGCAGTGTGCAGTGGTTGTCCTCTTTGTGCGGAGTCCGTATGAGCGTGCGTGATCCAGTGGCTGTGGGCTGGTGGTATAGATGTGTTGGGCGGAGGCGGGTTGGAAGTGATTGATGAGGACGGACAGGTGCGCTTGAGGCTGGTGGATTTGTTGGAGGCGTGCTCGTGACTCTGCAGCTGTTTGTGTGGGAAAGGTGTGGTAAGAGTAGGGTTGTATACATACAAGGGGACCTTGGAGTTGGAGCCTTCAGACTTTCTTTGTCGGTTTGTTGTGAATGCTTGTTGTTATCGCTGGTAGTATAGTGATGGTGTCACCCCTACCTTCTCCTGATGTAGGTCTTGCTGCAGCACGTAGTAGGGTGTAGCCATAAGTGCGAAACAGCGCCAGGGGCTCAGCAGCTCAGATAGCTGGCCCAGGCGCGTAGGCATGCGAGATACTGTTGATTCTTGAGTACGTTTCATGGGTACGATGATAGATCCCAAACGGCAGGAGATAGCCAAGCAGTGTTTCAAGCGAGGGTGGAGCTGGTTGTTGTTGTATCTACGACTGGCTCAAAGTTATACTATGAGCTACCTAATAGCCAAGGAAGCTCTGCCAAACCCGACGCGTAGCTCACACAGCTACAGTATGAATGACAGGGGGAGCGGTGGTGTCAAGAAAGTGGTAACGGTTTTGTCTGCCTCTCACAAAGCCATGTTAAGACCCAAAGCATGACACATGTTGCCCTATTTCCCGATTAGGAATGGCGTGAATCCGGCTGCGCCGCCCGCCCTTCTTTTTAGACGCGTGCCTGCTCCTCCTCCCTCCTCTCCTCTGCAACAACCGTCTCGTCAACACCTGTGAGGTACACCTCTTGATCCCACGCCCCAACCGTCTGTTCCAAGTGCTCACTCAATATAGAAGCAGGCAGCCGACAAGATGTGGAACCCGCTCAAGAAAACAAAGATCTACAATCTTTATGTCATCTGCGCGACCGCCTCCATTGGTAAGTCACTTTCCGTGGTCAAATCACTGAGCTTCACACTCCTCACTCCACAATCAATCACTGACTGGCCGCAGGCGGCCTGCTCTATGGCATAGATGTCGCGAGCATGAGCGCCGTCATTGGAACAGCCGCTTACAAGAGCGCGTTCGGTCACCCCGTCTCACACCGTCAGGGTAGCATCGTTGCCGCCATGCCGGGTGGTTCTTTCTTTGGCGCGGTGGTTTCTTCGCACATCGCAGATCGTTTTGGCCGCCGTATCGCCATCCAGGCTGCTTGTACCATCTGGATCTTCGGCACAATGTATGTGAGCCCACCTGTCTTCTCTGCTAATACTGACTTCGTTTGAAAACAGTGTCTCGTGTTTCGCCGGCACTGCCGAAAGCCTCATCGTTGGCCGTGCCATATCTGGTTTCGCCGTCGGTATTTCCTCGTCCGTTGTCCCTATCTACCAGGCAGAGATGGCTACCAAGGCGAACCGCGGTCGTGTTATCTCGTTCCATCAGTGGGCTGTCACCTGGTAAGTAACACCGAATGCTTCTTGAAGTACGTCTGAGCTGACATGTCTCCAAAGGGGCGTCTTGATTCAGTTCCTCATCCAATACGGCTTTTCTCAGATGGACGGTGGCCCACTCAACCCCCACCAGAGCTCCATGACCTTCCGTCTCCCTTGGGCTCTTCAAACCATTCCTGCTGTCGTTCTTTTCATCATGATGTATTTCCTCCCTGAGTCGCCCCGTTGGTTCGCAGTCAAAGATAACTGGACCGAGTCGTAAGTCGTCCTCTCCTCACTCTTGACACAAACACTTATGACTTCTTCAGCATCAACGTCCTGACCAAGGTCCACGGCGGTGGCAATGTCAACCACACCTCCGTCCTAGCCGAGTTCAGACAGATCGAGCGATCCCTGGAGGACGATGAAGGATCCTCCTACGCGGCCCTGATCGATAGTCGCATGATCTCCCGTGTCATCCTAGGCGTATCGATCCAGTCCTGGGCTCAGCTCAGCGGCATCGTCATCCTGATGTCGTACATTGTCCTGATCATGGAGACGACCGGCGTGCGCGATCCCCTGCTCGCGGCTTCGGCCCAGTTCCTAATCAGTGTCGTGCTGACCATCCCCGCGTTCATGATGCTCGACAAGTACGGCCGCCGCCCTGCTCTGCTGGTCGGTTCGGCCTTCATGATGGTCTGGCTCATCGCTACCGGCTGCCTTCAGGGTATCTTCGGCAAGAAGAACCCGCATACCAACCCCGAGTACGACGACATCACCTGGGTCATGGACAACAAGCATGCCGGCAGAGCCGTGATGGCGTGCCTGTACCTCTTCATCGCGACGTACGCTATGACTTGGGGCCCTGTTTCTTGGTAAGTACAGCACGCACGCCCGCCTCGCTCCTGTACAAGCTTCCACTGACGCAGCCAACAGGGTCTACCCGTCTGAAATCTTCCCGTCTAGACTCCGCGCTAAAGCCGTCTCTGTCGCCACGGCCTTCGCCTGGGTTTTCAACTTCCTGTTCGCGTACGCCGTCCCGACTCTGCTTTGGTACATCAAGTAAGCGCTTCCCTCCCCCTTTCCTTTTACCAGTAACTCACTGACTCTCCCCGCCCTCCCACAGCTACAAAACGTACTTCATCTTTGCTGGCTTCAACCTGGTTGCGTTCATTCACATGTTTATGACCGCGCCCGAGACTAAGGGTATGTCGCTCGAGGACATGGACGCCGTGTTTGCGTCCGGCAGACGTCCTTGGAGCCACTACCGCGCTGGCTCGCATCTGGACGACATTGTTGGCTCCGTGGAGGGTGAAGACCAGGATAGACAGCAGGCTGGTGCACAGGCGAGCGGTGAGACTCGCTGAGACACTTGGGGCTCGCTGAAATGTTTGGCTGGCAGAAAGTGCCTGCTTGAAGGTGAATTGGTGGGTTTTGGCGTCTTGGTAGCTGTGTTGCACTGAATAGACACACCGGGTAACTAGTCGTCTACTCGGTGGGAATAGACGTCTATTTAGCATGATTCATGATTAAACATGCACAAATGATATGTGCTTGTTCCACCCAATTAGTCGTCCCTTTCGGTGTTATCCCACTACGGGTTGTGAATTCACGACCCCCCTCCCCTGCTAGCGCCGTTAGAGCCTATGCTTACTTGTGATATTTGTATGGAGTAGAAGAAGAGAACCAGTTATGATATATAGAATCTATGTGTGCTCTAAAACCATTTCATCCATATCCGGGACTCGGGCTAGGAGCTAGGCAAGGTGTA